TTAAACTACGTCGATTCATGTCATATCACCACTTACAGCGTTAGAGATGTCAGGCTGTTACAATCTGTACGTCTCATACTGTTATGCAACAGTCACTTTGTTCGCTTTCACTAATTATGATCCATATGTTAAAACCATCATGTTGTTTACATATCAGCATTTATCTAAGCGGGGACAAATACGGCCACTGCTTCAATCGCACTCATGCTTACACGCAGTGTCGTACTTTGTGTTCACTGTAAACTATAATATAAGTATTGAAGATTTTAGCGCAGATAGTGTCGGTGGTCGCCACCGTGCATTCCCTCCAAAAGGGGGAGGGGTCGTGTTTTCCTGACGGTCTACCATCCATCAGTCCAAAGTGACTGACTGCACTTACCTGATAGGAAAATATATGCTTCAAAACAGAAAGCAGCACTCTGACTAAATATTTATGTTTACCACCCTCGTTCACACGATCCTTGCGGGCTTCATTGCGTTTAATTTTATTAATTTCAAAACGCCTTGGTAGACAAATAACTCGTTTATCTTCAACTTAGCGTACATAACCCCACTCAAAACTGCAGCAACTACCATAACCTCTATTTAGTATCTGGCGCCTTCGCCAGTTCGGTTGATTTTATCGCATAGATGTCACCCTAAAACAGATTCGCAGGATCAACCTAACTGTTCCTGTAACCCCACCCAGTTTGTAATCGGCCGCTGATTGGCCGTCAGCTCAGTTGTGAGTGTTTTCACATTCCGTTGCGCGTTTCTAATTGGTCGCTGGTGACGACAATCCCACACCCAACTCCCACCCACTGAGGCATCATGTTTGTGAGACTCGCAATAGCTAGTTTGTTAAGAGGCTATAGCTGAATGTGCAGCAAAGACTCCAAGTCTAACTGCGCTCTTTGGTTTAAATCACTCATTTAGAGTTCACAGAGATGGATATGAAAAAGAGAATTCACCTGGAGTTGCGGAACCGGACGCCGTCAGACGTAAGCATCTTTATTAATTGCTGAGTGATATGATTTTATTAAAACTGTTGGTTAGAGTAGTTCTGCGTGGATGGACAACACTAGATGTGCACGCGTCAAGTTGATGTCTTGAATGAAAAGTTTGCGGCGACTTTGTTGCGAGCCTAGAGCCTTGGATGTTGTTATCTCAGTCTACCTTTACGCGGCCCATAAGTTTACCAGTTTTCCCGACGAATTTCCCCCAACTTTCGCGAGACCTTTTGGTGATGCTGTGGTCTGAGACTGCAAGAGCTGCATGCATTCAGTGTATAAACAAGGGAAGCGGCGTGAGAAGCCATATTTGTAACTTTGTAGCCCCTGAACGCGCCCTTTTCCTTTGCATCCTCAGTGCTGCAAAAGTCGCCCGCCGTCAGTTCATGCCTCTCTCACACTTTCGCACATCCATTTTCAATTCAACATTCATACTTGCCAGTCACAGTGGTCGTTGGCCAGTTCGGTAACTTGTTGTGGGACGCATTTTGTGGATTGCTGTGCAGACGATTTGACAGATAGCTCGCGATAACCCGATCGGTCAACTAAATTTGGTGGCATCTCTCCAGCAAACGGCTTTTATTGACGGATTTGAGCCGGAATGGAAAACATTTTCGTTTCTCAATCAAAGAAAGTTGTGTAAATACTTAGGCGGGATCTTTCCGTGGGCTTTCGGCACGTTGCTAATCATCGCGTATTTGGTTTGGTTATGGCTGTAAAAAATATGAACACATTTGTTGTTGGCTATAGAAAGAATCGTGTCAGAGTGTATCTTGTTGCGTAAAGGTTCCCAAGCCTATTTAAAACTGCATATGTCGACGACATTGCCAGAATGCAAAATCCAAATCGGTATTCCCTCTTTCACTTGTGTCCTCCGTGTTTATCTTACGATATCTGAAGTGTAACCACGTTCTCTGATGAATTCAGAGCAACAATAATCAGGGACCCCGTCATTGCCCCATTACGCATACCCAAATACGCTGTACTAGAACTCGTAATTAAAATGTCATAACCGTGTTCTGGCCACTTCTGTGCGTCTCCACTGGCTGGATAAAGAGATTTTTAGCCGTGTGGCTCGGCTTGTTATTGACAGACTGGGCGCTTATGTGAGCGCTACGCAACTTGAAGCTGCGCTGCTCTAGTTGCAAGATCTAGGACAAGCCGCCATTTTAACCAGCAACAAAGACGCACGATATTTAATCGAGCAGAGAATCGTCGCCGCCTTCGTCTCTGTGCTTTGAACCGAGCAGAACCGCTGAATACCGAGAGCCGAGCCCGTTTAAAGCCGGGACATTTAATTTTTATTCCGTGAAAGTCAATACCTTTCGCTTAAAGAGCGAGTCCGTTGCATTATCATGCGCCTCTCTGCCCCTCCTACTCGTGAATTCTTGGGTCCGTCCTCGTGTCTTTGCTCTTCCAAGACAATGTAATGCATTTGTGTAACACCCAGGCTATCGTTTAAGCGTCTTCGCTTTGCTGTTCCAGCACGCACTATAGTAAAAATGCTCTTCCAATGAGAAAACAATGTACGCCGCTTGTTGCGGAGTCAGCCATTTTGTTGGATGGAGAGTCAAATGTGAGGTTTTGTCAAAGCACCCAAACACGCACCCCTATCTGTTACTGTAGACCGCATGCTGAAGTAAACTTTACAACTGAATGGCGCCCGACTCGGTCGTGGCGTGTTTATTGTGCTCAGTTTTTTCTATCTTTAGCCAATTATCTTCGAGGATGAATGTGTTGTATGCCATATAAAAGTAATTTCTGAGAATTATAAACCATTTAAACGAAATTTCTTTTACACTAATGTGTATTTTAAATGACATTTCCTACGTGGGAATCAATAAAATAATCGAATTAAACATACTTAGAGGACACTGTAATTGCTGATTATTATGTAGACAGTAAATGAAAATGTGCCTTTTTATGTGAGTTTTAATATGGTTAGCTTTTTGGTGGTAAACAATAACATTAGAAGCAAACTGAAGAAGTTACAAACAGCTGATTTAACCACCTCGTTCATCTCATTGTTTTGAAGTTGCAGGTACAGACTAACAAATGCTTTATTAATTAATCATAACATTTTAATATCCTTTTCTTCTCATGTGCCCTTGAACAGGTGAAAGAGCTTGTGCTCGACAACTGTCGGTCAAATGAGGGCAAAATCGAGGGCCTCACTGATGAGTTTGAGGAACTGGAATTTTTAAGCACAATCAATGTAGGCTTAACATCAGTCACCAATTTGCCGAAGCTTAACAAACTCAAAAAGGTAACGAGCAGCTTCTTGTTAATTTTTTTCACAAGTGCCAGCGGTGTAAAGTTTTGCTAAGTCTTATTAATTTGCTACTGAATCATGTTCTCCGCAGCTCGAGCTCAGCGATAACAGAATCTCAGGGGGTCTGGAGGTACTGGCAGGGAAATGTCCCAACCTCACCCATCTCAACCTCAGTGGCAACAAAATTAAAGACCTCAGCACCATCGAACCCCTGGTAAGCTGCGTTCATACTAGTGCTAACAGAGTCATGTGCTGATAAACATTTATTATTAATATTGATGTGTGGAAGTATTACCAATACAGACTATAAACCTCAAAATTTTGTTGTTGGTTGTCAAATGCTTATCAGTGTTTGTTTTTTTCACTTTCCTCAACAGAAAAAATTGGAAAGCCTCAAAAGTTTAGACTTGTTCAACTGCGAGGTGACAAACCTGAACGACTACAGAGAAAATGTTTTCAAGCTGCTCCCTCAGTTGACGTATCTCGACGGCTATGACAAAGAAGATAAAGAAGCGCCAGACTCTGATGCTGAAGCTTACGTTGAAGGTCTAGACGATGAGGATGATGAAGAAGACGGTGCGTTTCCAAACACTCCGGCTGCTCTGAGATGATGATTTTTTTTCTAAAATTGAGATTAAGAAATTCATTTGTCATTGACCTAATTTTGTGTGCGCAGAGGGAGAAGAGGAGGACTACGATGAAGATGCAGCTCCAGGAGAAGAAGATGAAGAAGAGGGAGAGGAGGATGATGAGGAAGAGGGAGAAGAGGAAGAAGAAGAGGACATCAGCGGAGAGGTTAATGTGGACACATGATGCTTTCTTTCTATGCATGAATGCAGATACATGGTGTACATCTGTGCCGTTTGTCTCACTTTTAGGAAGAGGAGGAAGAGGAGTTAAATGACGGCGAGGTAGATGATGAGGAAGACTTTGGTGAGTGAATACACTAAGCATGTTTTTGAGATTAAAGCAGGTGCTACCACATGCCAATTGAGTGCAGGGTGAGAGTAACGCCTGGTCCTCCTGTGTTGTTTACAGAAGAGGAGCGAGGTCTGAAGAGGAAAAGAGAGCTGGATGAGGAAGGGGAGGAAGATGATGACTGAACATGCACTCCCCTCATTGTGATCTGGCCGTTTAACCCCTGTATATCTGTCCTATTGTCACTCTGCGATGGTTTGGGGAGGTCTTCAACTGGTAGGGGGTGGGTTAGTATAAACGAGGACACAGTTTAAATATTTGTTTTTAGCCTTTTTTTCGTTGTTGATGTTGTTGTTGTTTTCTTTTGGTTTGGTTTGTACTTTCAGTTTGATTCCCTTCATTTTCACCCAAAAGCTCTTCAAATGGCTGACAACACAGTGTGGAAATTTATTATTGTTGGAAAAAAAACAGACCAGTATGCTCTTGTAATTTTCCCCTGTCTTTACTGTTGATGCCTAAATGCTGGTGATGACTTATGTATTAAAAAAAACAAACAAAAAAAAAAAACAACCAAAAACCTTTTAGAAGTGCATGGCTGACTCTATTTTAAAGTTGACTACTGGATTTCAAGGAAGAACATTTTCTAACCCACTTTTTTATTGCATCTTTTATTTGTGTATTTTGTTTCTTTGGTGTTTTCTTCTTCTTCATCATCATCACCACCACCTTGTGACGTGCTGTTTAGGCATGAAGAATACATCAAGATGTCTGCTTAGACATGCACAGTTCAACCTCTCAATGTGATTATTTTTTTTGTTCTATTTGATTTCTTTTTTAAATGTTCAGAGCCGAATGTCTGCCCTTGTCAAATGAGTCCTGATCCCCTTTTCCCTTTTGTGTGGATAGTTTCAGAGGTTTCGTGTTCTTTGTAAATAATGACCAAATATATTTTTTTCTGATTCCCTTTGATAATGGCAGACATTTTCACAAATAATCTCAGTTGTAACCATTAACTGTAATAAAATGAATGAAAACACAAGCGGCTCTATGGTACTTTGAACTGTCTCTGTTCTGACGGCCACAGAAATCCACGTATTGTAATTAACTGTGATTACACACTTGATCGCTAGATTATGTATTTGCAGTGATGCCAAGTGTATATAATCTCACCTCTGATATTGCGGGTTAATTGAACATAGTGACATTGCATTGTGAAGCTCAGGGAAAATAGCTTGTATATTTTTGATGATCTGGATATTGTGTAAGTATTCAGAGGCGCTATGCCAATTATTTAAATACAAACCATACAGTTTTAACTGAGCTGTATACAGTTGTCCGATCACTGATTTAAAAAAAAATTATTATTAAAAAGAAGACCAGATTTCACATGAATAAAAAGCAGCGTTTTTGTGCAAATGGATATTTCCTGTATAAGTATGTGCTTTGTTAACAAGAGCATGAAAGCATTGCGTGGAGTGTAATTAAGGTGTGTTGTTTGATCTTATCACTATATTTTAGTGTAAAAGCGACAGGTAAATTAGTGAGTCTAGATAAAGTAAACTCAATGCAGCATATTTTCAGCAGGAATTTTATTTTTTTTTTAGTAGTATGCAGTTACCTTTTCTGCAACATGGTGTATAGTCAGTTCATCATAATAATGAATAGTGCCCTACAGAGTGCTGATTACTTATTAATGTTCTACATTTTAATCAAAGACAATGGTTAGCTTAATGTCTTATAGTTATTCTGGCACCGTCAGCACAAACTATTTCAATATTGATTGTGCTCATGTAGGCAGTGAGCATATTGTCTGGTGCCAAATGCAGGGCCAGAGTATAGCAAGTATTGACACCACGGAATTCATCAAGGCACTACGTTTGTTCGTTTTATGGTATGTTATTGTTTTAACAATTACTTCATGTGCTAGAAAAGAACCTATTTTTTCCTAGAACAATTGTTCGTGTCCTTTCGAGGGATGCTGTGTAATGTTTGCTCTGTGTCAAGTGTCGGCCTACGAGCTGACATGTTAAAAGCTGAGGTTGTACTGCCCCCTGGTGTCACTACATTAAACCAGCTATTACTATGTAATAACGAATCCGGAGCGGCTGCAGTTTGTGTTATTGTTTTATGAGGCAAAATATTCACAAAGCTCAACAGCATATTGTTTTAATTAAATAGCGTCAGCAAGGAAATTTTTTTTAATACTCAGGGCTGTATTTCTGAGGTGGACAAGAGTTTGCTTCCCATGCTGGTCAATCGAGGTGAGAGCTAATTCATAATCATGGGTTATTCAGGAATAAAGCGATCAGTATGGATGACATCTTTACACATCACATCAGAGGTTTGAGCAAATGTGGTATTAAAAACATTAGAAAAGTCTAGTTTGGTGGCAAAATAAATATGTTAGCATATTTTAATTAATAAAGTAAGATTTAAATGTGATAGTTCACACAAAATTAAAAATCGTCATCGTTTACTCATCATTAATTTGTCAGAAACCTCTTTGTTTTTTTTTTCTGTTGAAAACAAAACATATCAATAAAAATATCCAATGTAAAAATATGTGACATTCTTTAAAATATCTTTTGTGTTCAACAGAAAAAAAAGAACTTCATAAAGGTTTCAAACTGACTAATGGTGAGCAAATAATGAGTAATTTTTCATTTTGGGGTAAACTATTCCTTCAAGAACTGAAACATTGCATAATATTTGCACAACCGAAACCTGTGTACAACATTTGAAGGGGTTTACAGTGAAAGTTGTATGCTGAATACAATGCTATTGACAGCAATATACATTCAAACTAAGAAGCACTTTAAGATGTAAATAATTTGACAATTATGAAATGGCAAGGATAAGTGGTTACAAGCTCAAACCAAAAAAACCTGAAGACAAAAACCTTCATTTAAAAGTGCGAACTGAACATGGAAATCAATAAATAGGCTTGATTTAAAGGTTAATAAAATATAACAGTGCTTCATTATGAGTTATAAATCACAGTCTGTCTCTAAAATATTATATTACCATTCCTTCATCAAACTGAATCAAAAATGCATCTTCCAACACTGAACTTTCTTTATACCACATTTTTTTTCAACATTAGCCTTCCCTTCAAACTACAGTGCATGTCATCTAACACTACCTCTATCACTAATTCAATTAATGACTATACAATAAGTGGAATTTTAAAAAGTTTTTGAAATGCATCATCAGGTGCAAAGTGTAATAAACGATAAAACCTGACATTGCTTCATCTATACTGTAAAATCATTTCAATAAATGTAAAGGTAGTTCGCCCAAAAATTTAATTCTTCTGTTAAACCTTAAAGAGAATTCTTTGAATAATGTTTGAAACGGGTAGCCTTTCACCTCCATAGGATAATTTTCTTTACTGGATGTTGGGTTTCCAGATTCAAACATTCTTCAAAATGTCTTCTTTAGTGTTCAACAAAAAAAAGAAGCTCATTAAAGTTTGAACCACTTAAGGGAGGGTAAATTATAATTATATTTAAATTTTTGCAATAAACAGTTCCTTTCAATTGAAGGGGCCATGAATTGGGTAATCAAATTCCCTCTATTGATACTGTATATAGAGATGCTGCTGAAAATAACAATACATCATGAGAAAAGGCAGAACATTAGAAAAAAGTGTTCCAACTCTCATCAGTAAAACACTGTTCCTTTGTTTCTTTTACTATTATTATTTTGTTTATTCATTCATTCATTTATTTATTTATTTATTTATTTATTTATTTTTTGCATCATTTGAGTGTGGATTGGTCATAAATAAGACGTTTAATGCAGGCTTTTCACAAAGACTAAAATAAAAGATGTTGACTATACATTGAAAATACAAATGCAACATTGTATTTTTACCATGTGTATTGGTGGTTTATCTATCAACTATTGTTTGATAGTCATTGAAAGTTTTTAACCTCAGTGACTCGTATTGTTTTTTAGAATCTATCAAAGCAGTGTTTATCTATTATTTTAGTATGTCAAACAGTTACCCAACAGTGACCATTTACTTTGGAGTCTTGAATATGGCATGCCAATCAAAACAGGGTTTGAAAATGAGACGAGATAGAAAACAGCCAATTACTTCAAAATATGATTATGAAAAAGAACGACAAGTGGACCTCAAATAATGCAATAAAAATAAAATATACAATTCATGACCCCTTTGCAACGCTTATAATTTAACCTGTTAACTGACTTGAACATAATTCACACTGCAGACACAAAATTGTTTTACTACAAGCTCTGTACTTCAGGATTTAGGAGGGTGTCAACAGGAAAAATGTCATTCATCAATTACGATTATAGAACTGTTGTGTTTTCAACATTAAAAAGGGATAGCTTCTAACCATTTACAATACACACCTTCAAGTTGCTGGGTCCTGAAGGGCCAATGTCCTGCAGATTTTTTGCTCTAAATTGCCAAAACACACCTGCAAGGATGTTTCTAGAAAGCCTAAAAAGAGCTTGGTTAGCTAGCCGAGGTGTCTGATTTGGGTTGGAACTAAACTTTGCAGGACACCGACTCTCCAGGACTGAGATTGGACACCTCTGCTCTAAATCATAGTCAATGGCTACTGTCAACTGTCTGGTTACCAAAACCCAGTGGACACCTTGATATCAAAACAAACCTGCTAACATTTGTCTCTGAAATTCCGGGACAGCGAGTAGTAGGTCTGGTGTCAGTAACTGTACCGTGGTGTTAGTAACTGTACTATAGAGTGGAATTTGGGCGGCTGCTGCAATCAGATATTATACTAAAGTTGGTGACCCAGTGGTGTAACAGACTGTCCCAAAAAATCTGAGGATTGGAGGGCGGGGTAAAAAATTAAACATCAAAAATGCTAATTTATTTGATGTCAGGGCGCCATGGTGGCGCAGTGGGAAGCACGATCGCCTCACAGAAAGAAGGTCGCTAGTTGGCATTTCTGTGTGAAGTTTGCATGTTCTCCCCATGTTCGAGTGGGTTTCCACCACAAGTTCAAAGAAAAGAATTGGGTAAGCTAAATTGTCTGTAGAGTATGAGTGTGAATGAGAGTGTATGTGTGTTTTCCAAGTAATAGGTTGCAGCTGGAAGGGCATTTACTGCTTAAATATGTGCTGGATAAGTTGGCGGTTCATTCCGCTGTGGCAACCCCTGATAAATAAAGGGACTAAGCCGAAAAGAATATGAATGAATTAATTAATTATTTGATGTCAAAACCTTGACATACATTTGACATTCACACATTGATTCCATTTTGACCACCAAAACAATGACACTAAAAGTTTAGTTAATCCAATTAATCTAAAAGCTTCAATTTCAAACAACAAATTTACACTTAATTGTGTATTCCTATGGATTTAAATAAATTGATGTCAAAACTACATCAAATTGACATCTAATACTGCTACCGAAAAACAAAACATGATCAAAAATGGACTGCATGACAGTCCTGTAATAGATTTTGGCCTGGTTTTGACACCTATTTTAGATACCAATTTGATGTCGTTTTGACATCAAGGTAGTCAACTGACATTACTGATGTGTTTTTGATGTCGTTTTGACATCAAGGTGCCTGCTGAGCATACTACTTTTTTTGTGTGGAGCAGAATTAAAAATATTTGTACAAATTTGCAACAAGCATTGCTTGGTAAACTATCCCTTTAAAACAGCACTGTGGGTCATATCATAATGATGCAATAGACCTAATGTTTACAAGAGATAACAGCTGGATGGGGGAAGCACGTCTTACTCATTTTTTATCTCTATATGGGGTCATTAAGCTGTTTAGAAGTAGCGCAAAAAAAAAAGAAAAAAATAAATAATTCTAATAATTCAATCTAGTAATGTCTACAATTGTGAGATGAAAATGCAATGGATAGCTTGTACCAAAACCACTTCAGGTTGACCCGTAGTGTGACTGAAGGTCATGTGATAGGAGATTTTTCACCAGGTTAGTGAATCATCGCTCCAGTAAAGTCAACTTAGCACACAGCAGCTGTGGGGTCAACACTGCGGTCAGATTGAAACACTGCTTTATGAAGACAAGCGCCGGCTCTCCTGCGGTCTTGAAGGAAGGATATTTGAGTGTTAGGAAAGAGGAAGCCCGTGTTTCAGCAGTGTTTGGAGCTTGTAGTGTGTCACTTCAGGAAATCAACAGTTCTGTGTCAAATGCTGCTACCATTGCTGTTGTTATTGTTGTTGTTGATGTTCGGGCTGTTCCTGATGTTATTGAGCTCCAGCTCCAGCTGTCGAATCTTAATGTCCTTCTGTGTGAGTTCGTCCTTCAGTCGACGCAACTCCTCCTGCTGTCTGAAGAACATCCGCAAGAGCTGGAGAGCACAACGCACAGGGTTACACAAACACACGGAGAGTGGAAGACAAAAACATTAGTGCTGCTGTGAAATCTTTCTCAAATATTTCACAAGTGATTTTTCACAGAGCAAGGACATTTTTTTTCACAGTATTTAGTTTTATACATTTCTTCGGGAGAAAGTTTTAATTATTTTATGTTGGCAGGAAGAAAAACATGAAAAACTAAAATAAATAAAACCGGCTATGGTCAATATTATTAGCACCCTTAATGAATGATTCTTTTTTGATTGGGTACAGAACAAACCACTGTTAGTCCAATGACTTGCCTACTTTATCTAATCCCCCTAGTTTGTACTTTAAGCAATTTACTAGCATCTTGTAAAAAATATTAAACTATTATGGACTGTCAGCATGTCAAATACTTAGATATTAGTTTAATTAATTCATTAATTACTTAGAAATTAATTATTGAAACTATTAGTTTAAAAATGTGCTGCAAAAAAACTACTATCAGGAAATATTAGAAAAATAATTTGAATTTTACACAAAGGCTAATCATTTTGACTTCAACTGTATATATACAGCTATGGAATAAATGAAAGAGAACATTAGGACAGTTTCTCTGAATTTCAAAATTTAGAAACATCTGCAAACTTAATTATGTTGTGCAAACGTATGTGCCATCAATACATCACTTCTTGTCTTATTTATTTCTTTGAACAAGCGGAATTCGAACGCGAGTAACATAAGATAAGTGATGTTGTTTCGAACAAAGTTTTAATTACAAATTAACTTAACTACAGTTTATAGCGCTTCACTTTTTCCACATTTTTTTAAGTTACAGCCTTATTCCAAAATGGATTTAATTAATTCATTCCTTAAAATTCTGCACACAATACCCCATAATGACAATGTGAAAACATTTTTTGAAATTACTGCAAATTTATTAAAAATAAAAAACCTGAAAAATCACATGTGCATAAGTATTCACAGCCTTTGCTTATAACTTTGTTGATGCACCTTTGACAGCAATTACAGCCTCAAGTCTTTTTAAATATGATGCCACAAGCTTGGCACACCTGTCTTTGGGAATTTTTGCCCATACCTCTTTGCAGTACCTCTCAAGCTCCATCAGGTTGAAAGGAAAGCGACAGTGTACAGCCATTTTCAGATCTCTCCAGAGATGTTCAATAGGATTTACATCTGGGCTCTGGCTTAGTCACTCAAGGACATTTACTGAGTTGTTGTGAAGTCACTCCATTAATATTTTGGCGTTGTGCTTTGGGTCATTGTCCAGCTGGAAGATGAACCGTCACCCCAATCTGAGATCAAGAGCACTCAGAAGCAAGTTTTCATTCAGGATGTCTCTGTACATTGCCTAACCCTCTATCCTGACTAGTCTCTCAGTTCCTGCTGCTGAAAAACATCCCCACAGCATGATGCTGATGAATGATCAGTGGGAAAAGAATGTGCCTGAGCTCAGTTTAGGCTGTGAATACTTATGTACATGTGATTTTTCAGGTTTTTTATTTTTAATAAATTTGCAAAAATTAAAAAAAAATTTTTTTCACATTTTCATTATGGTGTATTGTGTGTAGAATCTTGAGGAAATAAATGAATTTAATCTATTTTAGAGTAAGATTGTAAAATAAAAAAATGTGGAAAAAGTCAAGCGCTATAAATACTTTCCGCATGCAATGTATATCACACAGCCAAAAAACTGTTTTGCTTGCATCTTCATGACATCTCCTTTCTTTATAGAAGAGACATAAGCATATCTTCTATATTAAAAATTTAATTATTAGTACAATATTATCAAGTTTTGCTTTTCAAATTTTTGCTAATTTAACATAAATATAATTCAATTTAATTGGTTCTTATAGTTTTCATACATTTATATTCAAATTAGGCAGCACAATAGCAATGTTTAAACTTCAGAAGTGTTGAGAAATCAATATTTGGAGAAATAACTGATTTTTAATCACATTTATTCTGATAAACGGCTATTTTCTACAGCAAAAAAAAAACAAACTCTAAAAATGTTTATTCAAATGAAGTGGTAACAGACGTTTTTAGAATATAAAATATATTTTTTAATATTTTACTCAAATCCCACAACTAATATTTTAATCACATGTGGAGAAACTGAGAATTTTCAAGTGGTTTAAAAATTAAACGCTGCTCTCTGTCTGAAATTCTACCTTCAGTTCTTCAAAACTCATAATAAACCAGGTAAACACCTCATTCTCTGTACGGGGAGGCACGTTTTCTAGCAGGTCAATGCCATTGACCACTCCACCCTTCTTCTCCTTCACGGGTGCTTTGAACACCAGCTTGTTGGGTCTGTTGTAGCCCTCTTTTAAGGACATGAGAACGGGGCCTGGGCGTGCAGATGAAGAAATTTTGGTGATTGGTTTCAGTCTTTTGTCTTTTCAAATATTGTCATTCTGAAAATAAGTTTAGCTCTTCACCTCGGTTGATGCCACTGAGCCACTCATCAGCAGACAGAGCCGGTTCTGTCCCAGGAGTCATGGGGTAAATGTCCTCCTGATACGTCTCCGACTGCAAAATAAGAGGGTTTTTAAGTGGGTGAACAGGGTTAAGAATTATTTAATAGTTTAGAATCAAATGATTTTGGCCATGTCTTTATATCCCAAAAATAGCCAGAAAAATAACAAATTGCTGTATATAATCAGGCATATTTTCTATGAACTGAAAAGCTGATTGATTTGATATGAATAAAAGTGTGGTTTGGTTTATATAAGTGGAGATTTATGATTTAGAGCTGATGAGAACTATTATTTTTTTGAATATGCATCTTGAACCGAAATCTACCAACACAAATTGATAAAGTGCAACAAACAAGCCAGAAGCCTTAAACAGTCAGTCTTACCTTACATTTGTTACATTTTGTGTGTAATTACATTAAGGTTATTCATTAATATTAGGCAGTAGTATGAAGTATTATGTCAGTCTCCAGAGGGTCACATAATGCACACTATTATTATCATGTTCATTGTAATAAGCCCTTTTAAGTTTGCTTCAGGATATGTAATTAGTGCACTGCGTGAACTCTGGATGAAAAGGTAACCCAATATCTTAGGGAAAATTATCCTAGCTATTCAGAAACTTATTGTTAAAGTTGATTTAGGGTTGCCTAATTTTAATGTATATGCTACAAATAAAGATAACCAGCAGTTGCTTTGGAAACAAGAAAAACATTTTTAATGCTTCCTAAATTTCAAGGTAGTTAAATATATAAAAAGAATATATATTGTGTGGTGAAATAAGCTGTCTCATTTCAGAGGCTGCATCCTCCGAAGGATGCAGACTTTAAAAGTGAGTACTGCGAAGTCCACACAGACCGAACAGAGCATTTTGAAATGAGACAAACTAGCCTAGAGCAGGGGTTCCCAAACTTTTCACCCCGCGACCCCAAAAATAATCATATCAGTGGCTCGCGACCCCCATTTTTCAAGGTGGTTGTACTGTAAATATTGCATACACAACTATAGGCAAATATAAACATGAGCTTATTGACAACACAAAAATGCAACAGTCTATTAGCCATATAATGTTTTTTTAAAGTCATTTATGGATTTAATTACATTTGCTTTTAAAATTAAAGGCTGATGGCTGATTGTTATTTTTATGTTGTTGTTTCTTTAATGCAACTATTAACTATATTCTGTCGGTAATGAATAAAATATGGTAATTCTAATAGTTTAATAAAATTTATTTGAGTTTTGGATATCACCAAGCGACCCCTTGTCATTGTCCCGCGACTCCCCAGGGCGTCCCGACCCCCACTTTGAGAACCACTGGCCTAGAGGACAGATCTCATCACCAGGCAAAAGTAGCAGCTGCTGTTAATAAGCAGTAATAAAATTTAATCCAGAGTTTTCTTTTAAAAACGTCCTGCTGTTATCAGGGTGCAATGAATTTTGAGATGTTTGAGTTCGCGAAGGATCCACCGGTTGTGCCCTTTATTCTTGGCGAAACGAAGGACGCATTTTGAGGCTGCATATGAGGAAATCTTTTAATTTTTTTTTTTTTTGCACCAAGACTTTGAATGCATTATTTTTTTTTTTCTTCCCAATATTACAGAAAAACACAAGTCTATTTGTATTGTAGTTTATGCAATATATTCAACATAGCTTAACAATAAATTATTATATAAAGCAAGCAAATTAACAGATTAGTTCACTTCCAGAATGAACATTTCTTGACAATTTACTCACTTGCTTGTCATCCAAGAAATCAGTTTATTTCTTTTGTTTAGTCAAGAAGAAATTAACGTTCTAAAGAGAATTTTCTAGGATTTTTCTAGGATTTGTCTCCATAAGGGAGCACCTTTGTACGGCTCAATAATTTGAACTTCCAAATTATACAGTAGTTTCAATGCAGCTTTTATGGGCTCAAAATCATACGAGCCAAGAAATAAAGGTCTTAACTATCTGTCTTTTCTTAAAATAAATCAATAAAATCATAAATCAATTGTATACTTTTTAGCTACTAAGCATTTATACTTTTTAGCAAGTGCTAGATGTGCTTTAATGCTTAAAAAGTATAAAAAGTAAAATAAAAAGGTTTTGTTAGGTAAGATCTTTATTCCATGGTTGTTTAAAAACACTATATTCGTTTTAGTAAATTGCCTTTAACTTGCTATTTGATGGAGCTCTTTGCTGTAAAGTTGCTTTGAAATTATATTGTACATATAAATTTGAATTAAAAATAATATTTTGAAGGGGTAAAAAATCTACCTGAAACAATAAGTTAGTAAATCATTTGCTTCAAAAATATGGTTAAGCATACTATTGAATGTGAATGTAACTGCTTCCATATTTAGAGCTCAACTTCTTGTCACTGCTGAATTCAATGGTTAGCTCTCCAACATCAGGTTTCTCAAATATCAAAAATATCAGAACTGTGTGCACTGAATTGGCACTAAATTTATTTTGTAGTGTTTTAAATTTGTGGTGTCATGAGGATTTGGTTTCTTTCACAGGGGTTTTAAAGTCCTCTGATAATAGGCCAAACTGTCAATGCCCATTCTGTACAGAGAACAAAACACACATGCTGTGACACACTTGGAGATTATTTATTAATTTACATGGCTCATCCCATTTCATTGAAGGACCAGTTACACCAGCAAAAAAAGATGATATTGTCCTCTAAATGAACAACTTATAAATTCCTTAATTCCTCCAACCTGCCACAACTTCTAGCACAAATTTCTCTCATCCTTCAATCTCTCAATAATGCATTTAACTGTGACGGTGAGCAAATATCCTCATGCTTACCCTTCTAGGCACGATCATAGAGATGGGCTCAATCAGGCCCTTTAGAGTCACCAACTTATAAAACCTAAAGACTTCACATGCTCCTACATCCAGTCCATGCTTCGGCATCACTCCTGTCCAAACACACATGTGACAGAAGAACATGTGATTAGCTGAACATGATAATTACTTAATATATATTATTTATAATAATTATAAGTATAATTATCTAATTATCAGTATACAATTTTATTTATTGACATTCCCCAAAACTCTATTAAGAGCATATCCAAAAGATAGCATATCCAAATGTGACCTTGGACCACAAAAAAAAAATCATAATTATTTAATTTGAGATTTAATAAATAAATAAGCTATCTGTTGATGTTTCAATGTTTGGTATAGGACAATATCATACAAATATTAAAAAATATGATATATGAAGGTTAAAATAAACTCTAAATTTTAAGAAAATCACCTTGAAAGTTGTACAAATTAAGTTCTTAGCAAAGCACGTTACTGATCAAAAATTCAGTTTCTCTATATTTACAATAGGAAATTTACCAAATGTATTTATGGAAATTATCTTTTAAACAAAAACAGGTCTTACATAGTGAAACTATCTGTCTTTTTCTTAAAACAAACAAACAAATAAATAAATAAATAAATAAATAAATAAATAAATTGTATACTTTTTATCCACAAAAGCTTGGATCCCAGAGCAAGTGCTAGAAATCTTATGATGAAAAAGTATAAACATAAATTTTCTTTAGGTTTAGTCCCTATTTATCAGGGATTGCCACAGTGGAATGAACCGCCAACTATTCCAGCATAGGTTTTAAGCAGCGGATACCCCTCCAGCTGCAACCCAGTATAGAGAAACACACACACACACACACACACACACACACACACACACACACACACACACACACACACACACACACACACACACACACACACACACACACACACACACACACACACACATATAGACTGTTGGGAATGTGGAAAATTAAAATATTAAATTATCTATATTTTTGGCATAAAAGAAAATTGTATAACTGACTCATGCACTGTATTTTGACTATTACCACAAATATGCGTGTGCAACTTATAAGGGTAACAAATATGGTATATAGTACAAAATTTTGGTGATACACGGCTCATAAAAACATTCTAAACATGTTTTTGAGGTAAACAATTAAGCATTACCAAGGGGATAACTAGCAAAAACATATTTAAAGGGATGGTTCATGCAAAACAAAACTCACCATTTACTCATTTGTTCCTAACCTTTCTTCTGCTGAACACAAAACAAGTTATTTTGAAGAAAGTTGGTAACTAAAAATACTGACCTTCATAGCAAAACAAATACTGAAAATCAGTGGGGTCCATCAACCTGTTACCAACATTCCTCAAAATTTCTGCTCAACACAAGAAAGAATCTCAAATTGGTTTGGAGGGTGAGTAAATGATGACAGAAGATTATACATTTTTGAGAAATTAAAATAAACCTTAAGGCCACTAAATCCAATGCGGGTCATTGTGATCAACTTAATTTTGAAAAGACAGCCAGTGTTGTGTGATTATTAAAGGATGTAGTTTTACCAAGGCCTTTTTGTGGTGCAGGGGACCTGAACTCCATGAGGTACTGCAGGTAGGGTTTGTCCAGTGTGACCTCATAGTACCGGATGTTCCCATCACCCTACAATTACACTGTTTCAGTCAGTTACAGACAATGACGGTGAGATTCAGTCTGTTTAAGGAACTCAACAATATTAAGCATAGGCACCAATGTGGATTTTAATGTTTACCTGTGATACAATGAATGCGGCATATATTTTCTGATATACAATATTCTTCCACAGTTAGGGGTTTTAACAATCATATATATATTTTTTAGAAATGTATTATTCAGTTTAAAGGAATATTAACCTTACCTAAAAAGACTGGTGGACACAATGTTTTCAGTGCAAGTCTATTCTTGGTTTAATTTTAGAGACCGCCACTTAGAGATCATTCTCAATGATCAGTTGTGGCCTGTATATTTGTTTTTAATGTATTTAATTGCCAGAAAAGTGTCAGAAAAGTTAACCTGGTGTTATAAAATCAAACTGCTGCAGCCGACGCTATCGCTGTGTTGTTAATAGAACGTAAACACACCAATCTTTTAAATAATAATTGAAAGGGTGATGGCTTTTCATTTGCATGATGCTGATCTTTATGTAACTATTAACTACTAGTTTAATTAACTATTAGTTTTATGAATAGAATGTGGTAATTCTAATAGTTTAATCAAATTTATTTGACTTTTGGAATGCACCAAGAGACCCCGTCATTGTCCCACGACCCCCACTTTGGGAACCACTGATTTAGCAGATGCTTTTATCCAAAGTGATTTACAAATTAAAAGAATACAAGTAATAAAAACAACAAAAAAACAAAAAAATGATAATATATGATACATGATTAGTCTAATACATAATTAAATTTTTTCCATTAATTATATTTTTAACAATTAACAAACATTAAAAGCATATAAGAATCCTTATGAGTTAGAAGTAATGTGTACCTTGCCTGCTAAGTACAACATGTGTGTGTCTGCATCATAGAAAGGGAAAAGTAGTCCAGAAAGACCATCAATCTCCTCTTCAATGATCGGCATGGACAGATCCTCCTGAAGTCAAAGATAACATCAGATAACATTGTACCAATATTTGCAGATTTTTAAAAATCTTTTTAAAATAAAAAATAACCAATTAACAAATTGACGATATAAGAAAAAAAAATGAACAATGCGTTAAGAGCAAAGCAACCAGCGTCTTAACCCGCATTCTCTTTCCACTGCAGTTAAGAGTAAGTGTTTAGCTACAATTTCAAACAACAATGAATGTGATTATCACACAATAATTACAGGGAGCATGCTGAGAAGAAAACATAATGACTTTCAGTGGGTAATCTTTAGGGCAATGCATGCAGACATCAGGGACTGTGTATTTCTGGATGAGTTTTGGGAATTAATCAGACAGAAGCATCCACACATTTGTTTTTCTGTCATCTGTTGGCTTCATCTGTCATTATGTTAAAAAATAATAATTTTTTAAACTTTATATTCTCTCATTCTTGACCCTGACCAAAACATTGCAGCATTAACATATTGCTTGTGTTTATTAATTTGCTCCCAGTGACCATTGGCTGGTCCTACATCATCAGTGATTTTAGGTTGCATTGCCCTTGTGAGGACATTTGATCAGGTCAAAGCCTGACCCAAGGACCACCCAGCAAGCATGTTTTGCTTTTAAAAGATGTCTAATAGATGTCTAAACATAGTCGTCTTAGCAAAAACAATGCTAAATTTGAGCTGTCAGTTAAAATCTAATAGCTGTCCAAGAATAGGCCAAAACTAGACTAGTCATCAAATAATGAGAAATGAATGACAACACATATAAAGTCTGTCTAATCTGTCTATTTGATGACTAATCTAGTTTTGGGCTATTCTTAGATGTCTATTAGATTTTCACTGACAGCCCAAGTTTAGCCTTGTTTTAGCCAAGCTGTCTGTGTTTAGATGTCTATAAGACCTCTATTAAACACCAAATTGTTTGCTGGGCACCCTTCACAACCCCCCACCACCTCCAGCTCCAACCACACACACACACATACACCGAGGTTGTTCTCACCTGGTCCCAGAGAGCAATCTGGCGTGTGTTCCAGCGAGACACACCTGTCGTTAGGAGTCGTTTTATGTTGCCTAGGAACACAACACGATTCACTTTGTGGTTTTTAAAGTTGGCCTCCTGCTTGACAATATAAAACAAAACCAAGAAAAACAATCAGTTCTACCAGCAGTTTTCTCAATAGTCCATTTACAAAGGTGCATAAAAAGGAAGGTTATTCTTTAAAATATCTACATGATGTTTGATATCTTTCATCTGAATGTCTCTAAATAATAAATGATTAAACCAGGCTCCCTGTAAAAGTACAGTATTTCATCTTCTGTGTATGGATTTCTAGACTATACACTATTATACACTTAATTTTTGTAGACATTATAAATTTTAAGCATAGTCTATAATAATAGTCTCTCATGCTCACTAAAGTTAGATTTATTTGATAGAAAATAACGTAAATTAAGTATTAATGTTGGGAATACACTAATATAAGTTTCAGATTCAAAAATTTTCATTGTAATTCTGACTTGATTATGTTGTGTATTTGTCACAGTATTATTTTGATATTCATTCATTTTCCTTCGGCTTAGTCATTTCATTCATCAGGGTTTACCACAGTGGAATGAACCGCCAACTAATCCAGCACATGTTTTATACAGCGGATGTCTTTCAAGCTGAAACCCAGAAATGGGAAACACCCATCCACACTCATCCACACACATACACGTTGGCCAATTTAGTTTATTTAACTCACCTATAGTGCATGCCTTTGGACTATGAGGGAAACCGGAGCACCCGGAGAAAACCCAAGCAAACACGAGAAGAACATGCAAACTCTACTCAGTAATGCCAACTGACCCAGCCGAAACTCGAACCAGCGACCTCACTTCTTGCAGTGAGGCAACAGCACTAACCATCGTTTCACTCATTTTGACATTAATGAGTGTTTTTTTAAGTGTTACCATAATTTGTGGTTGCGATCTTCTTTTGTAGATAATGGGAGCTCTGTCTACTGTCTGACCTTCAACGTTTACTGGCTAACCCAGTGGGGTTTAACTTTAGGTCAGCTGGTGGTCATTATTTCTCCTTTCATTGTCACCCAGTACTACGGCTATAGGATACACCTTCCATATTGGTTGTTTTTAAGAAATAAAAAGCATTATATTGGTTACAATAATTATTGAAATAATGATCCGATAATATATGCTTGCTTCATTTCTAATGGGAACTTTTTCAAATTTCTCTCTGTGTTTATTGTTGCTGGGTTTAATTTATTTATTTTAATATATGGTATTTATTTAATGTGATGGCAAAGCTGAATTTTCATGAATCATTAAACTAATCTTCAGTGCCACACAAAAACTATTCTGAACATTATTAAATCAATGAAATATGCTAATTGTGCTGCTTAAATGTTCCAACAGGTTTCACTGATAAACAGACAGTTCAGCTGAAAAGGATTTATCTGAAAATAAAGTCTTTTGTAACATGATCAGTATCTTTACAGTTACTTTCACTTTTACTGTTCCTTTTAACCCATTTATCTATTTTAATCCATTAAATCCTTGATTTATATGATGAAATAGAGTGTAGCATCAATTATAAAGCTAAGGCTTTGTTTATTTAACAACTGTGTACTAAAAGCTATTGCATCTTTTAAAAGCTTTGCACACAGACAATAACGTCAGGACCTGACACAGATCTGTGAAAAATGGATAAGACACAGCATCACATATGCTAAGCCAACAACTGGCAATTTCAGGCAATGTTTCAAGAAGCATAAACTGTGGTCTGAAGCATATATACTGAGCACATAATATCCATATTTTGTAGTTTACACACAGAAAATTTAAAGTTTTGCTTTAAATAAAAACTACACTTTGAAACCCATTTTTAAAAGTTTGCATTTTCAGGCATGACATTAAAATATGTCAAATGTTTCTAATTGAAAACCCCTAAGAAAGAGGGCATAAGCGTGTCTGTGTAAATGAGTGTTTAAATGTGTGTATTGTAAGGCTGAACGCACCTGCAGAACTCTGCCTGAGCGTGGCTCAATGACACGAAGTTTCTTGTCTTTGCAGCTGGTGGCCAGCAAGCTGCCCTCTGTGTTAAATGACATACACAGAATCACATCTGAGTGGCAGTCGATCATTTTCACTGGCTCTCCGATCTCAAGATTCCAAATCAGGATCTACAGGGTGAGAAAAAGCACAACCTCTGATACATTCTTAGACAGTTTTATTTCTGAACGCTGCAATGTCGTGTTCACATTGTGGACAATCAGAATCAGCTTTCACAAACACATTAAAAAGTGATCCATTTCTTTACTTAAATAGATTAATAGAAATATACCTCATCATTTATTCCTCTTGATGAGGTTTTAAACCTTAATGAGTTTCTTTTTTTCTGTTATAATACTGGCACCCATCGACTTTTTTAGTAGAAAAAAATACTAGGAAGACAATGAGTGGCATTAACCTACATGTTTTAAAATAACTTATTTTTTGTTCAACAGAGCAAAGAAACTTAAATGGCCTTAAAACAAGTGTAGGGTGAGTAAATAATGACAGATTTCTTTGTCAAGTACACTTAAAAAAAAACAATAATTAAATTGAGAATCTGTTAAATTGAGGTTTAAAATTATACAGATTCTTTAATTACATAATAATTTTAACGCAGTGGGTTTACTCACTTTTTTAATGATCTAACATATCTAGGATGTTTTAATTTTATAGCTCATATCAGTGAGTTTAAGTTGATCAGATTGTGTCACACAAATTGTCCTTACCTTGTAGTCATAGCCAGCACTAAAGAGAATCCCGCTAGTTGTTGGATGCCACTCGATGAGGCCCACACGCCTGCTGTGGCCATAGAGTTCTAATACAGACTCTGTCAAACTCCTTCTCAGTCCACCGTCAGGAATCTCCCATATTCGCACCTGACGCAAACAAAACACTTTTTAGTCATACACCCCCCATGTAACATGAAGATCCTTTCAGACTCTATTGTGGGGCAGTGTTGGGAATAGTTTGAACAGGTTACAGACTACATGTCATTGAAATTGTATTGAGTAATGTAACTATATTTTCCATACTTTATTTGCTAACTTTTCTAAATTCCTAACAGGTTTTCACCCCTTAATTATATTTAAACATTTTAATCAGTAGAACAAAACACTGATTACTGGACTCATTCACTGATAACAACACTGATTACTAGACCTTTAAAATCCTTCACTCCTTAAATTATATTTTATATTACAGCAGCAACAAAGCCTTTTCAAAGACTTTTCAAAATCATGTCTTTGCACAAATATATAAGAAAACAGAGATTTTTAACAATGCATTGAGGAAAAACATTTCATATAAAAAATAAAGCATACACACAATGCCATATAGAAAATATATATATTTTTTATCTGTCCTATTCTGTGTCCTAAAACATTTGCATTTCATTTTCACTCATTTTCTTGTTGGCTTAGTCCCTTTATTAACGAATGAACCGCCAACTTATCCAGCATGTTTTTACACAGCAGATGCCCTTCCAGCCACAACCCATACCTGGGAAACATCCATACACACTCATTCACACACAAACACACTAAAGACAACTTAGCCTAAACCCAATTCACTGCATCACCCGCATTAAATTTTAAAGCAGTCAAATGCAATTCAAAAAAGACACATGTGTGTGTTTTTCTTGTGCAATTTATTAAACATTTTAAATGTTCACAAAAATATTTTGCACAAACTGTTATATGCAACCTTACGTAACCATTACATTTGACTACTCCACAACACTGATATCAGGTTTGTTCTATTTACGGTGTAAAACTTCACAAGTAGTTTTAGCACTCTTAAAAGACAAATACAATGTTATACAATCAAGCAACATATATACTGACTCTATAGTGACATCATGACTGTCCTGGCCACTGAGAAACAAGTACTCCAGAGAGCCATTTAATCCTATTAATTTCTGTCAATAAATAACAATACAACCTTGCATCATGCTCTGTTCAGCATGTGCATCAGGATAGTTTACATTAACTGAAAAATTAATTATAAAAAAACATGATTATAAACTAAATTTATGTTTTTAAATTTTGTTAAATTAACATGAATTGAGATTAAAAATGCTTCAGAAGCAGGAAATGTAGTGGAACTATTCAAATTCCATTAAAAAAAATCAACTTTCTATTTAAGAGATATTTTTAAAGAGTCTGTTTTACAAACTAATGTTTCAGACATGTTTCATTTATTTTAGATTAGATTGAATCATTGAAGGGCATAATAGTGGCTCAGTGGGTAGCATGGTCACCTCCCAGCAAGACGGTCACTGGTTTAAGCACCGGCTGGGTCAGTTGGCATTTCTGTGTGTAGTTTGCATGTTCTCCCTGTGATCGTGTGGGTTTCCTCCGGGTGTTTCAGTTTCTACCACAAGTCAAAAGACATGCGATATAGGTGAATTGGGTAAGCTAAATTGTCTGTAGGGTAAGTGTGTATGGGTATTTCCCGGTGATAGGTTGCAGCTGGAAGGGTATCCGCTGCATAAAACATATGCTAGATAAGTTGGCAATTTATTCCACTATGGAAACCCCAAAATAATTAAGAGACTAAGCCGAAAAGAAAGTGATTGAATGAATGAATAAATTAATCATTTGAGCATTGTCTTGATTTTGCTCTTTGCAAATACTCACAGATGAGTCCTCTGAACAAGATGCGATTATGTTGTCGTGGAAAGGATTCCATTTGATGTCCAGCACATTTCCTTGGTGACCACATACCTTTGGATAGTGAGGGTCGATACGGCCAAACTGCAGGAAACAAGTACAAGATAGTTATCTTATTTATTTTTACTGTGACTAAGTATACAAACAGAACTATGTATGGATGTACAGTAAGAACAAACAATGTAACTTCCACAAATACAGTACAAATACCACAAATTCCACAAATACTACTGTAATACACCCAATTGTCCACAGTATGGCGCTACATAACCACAGTCATCCATTCAGTAGTAGACAGAACATTAGACATGATGCTATGAATGTTTGATGTCACTTTAGTCCATTGACCTCTTTCTAAGGTCCTTTGGGATTTGTAGTTCAGGTCATGCATGAGTGGGCTGCTTAAGAAAGGCTCTTCATCTATAGCTCAATGCATAGAGATAACACTCTGTAATGTAAGAATGAAGACATCAGTTGAAGATGATCCAGAAAATCTAAAAGCACCTCGGATATTGTCCTGTATCTGGCTTATTGGTTGCATTTATTACAACAATGATGCACATTATCTCTGCCCTTCTGTGCTTTTTCTCCTAGATTAGCATGATGAAAATTATGGCTGTGATTTGTTCTGTGTTGGATTATTGAATTCAATTAGCACAGCAACCGCTTAAGGGGCGTTCATTTAATAGAGTTTTCATGGGTATGAAAGTCTCTTGATTTCCCACAGGATATCAAAACTTACTAAAACAACATGAACGATTAGAAAATGTAAAAGCCTTTGCTACTACTACTGGTAGCTACTTTTTGTTGTTCAAATGTTTTCTTACATGTGAGGATTTCTGATTTGGTTAGGATGTGCAGCTTTGAATGTGCGCTTATTATGCAAACAGTTAAAACTTGATTCACATGTTGCTTGTCTTTGCTTTTTGTAGTAAAATGTGTACTATAAAATCAAACTGTAACTTTGGGTATTAAGTATCTCACCACCATTAAAAATAAAATATATTAGAACTAAAAATACTACATGAAGTATAAAATATAATGATATATTATTATTATTATTATTATTATTATTATTATTATTATTATTATTATTATTATTAGGGATGTCCAGATCTGATCAGAATTAGAAATTACCTCCTGATCAGGACTCGAATATATATATGACCAATATCACACGAGTAGCAGTGCAATATGGCTGTATATCGGCACTGGTGGGCGGCGTGTGTTGCGGCCGAGTGCCTTAGTCCCCCCACCAGTGCCGATATACAGCCATATCGCACTGCTACAAGTGTGATATTGCGTTTATACAACAGTTTGACGGCATAATTGTGTTTATAAAAACAAAATCAAACATGGAGAGTCTCAAAAACCCTTTTGTATGAGGAACTACTTTCTTCCACATTAGATTCAAACCATAAGCTGACAGTTGAGCAAGCTGAGCAAGCATTTTTTAAACTTTAGATCTGTAGTGTCTGCTTGTTGCTGGCTGTATGTGGGCGGAGTAATACACAAAGGGTAAAGAGGCTGTACGGGTGCTGATATTACTTAAATATATCACGGCTATCAGCCAATCAGATTCGAGAACCAGACAGAACTGTTGTATAAATAAGATCTCATTGACATTAGTAAATGCATAAAGCATAGTTAGTTAGCATAAAGTAATATGAACTATTTATTTTTACAGTATCTACAGGTAAAACATTTAATGATCTAATTGTATTTACATGCGTCAAATTTCCATCATGACAACTAATTAGCAAAAATTATAAGGCAAATTTGTTTTTGATGATGATTTTATATGCTCAAATGCTCAAACTAGGCATTGTATTTTCATGGCATTGTAATTACTGATTTTCTTTATCACAGTATACAACATTATCATGGTATTTGAATAAATTACAAAAGAGACTGAAAAGACAGGCAAACTTCCGTTTAATGGTTTTCAAATAACAAAACAAATCCAAAACTATATATGAAGAGTACAGATGCAAAAAAAGTGCCATCTGAAATTTCCATTGAAAAGTAGCATTTTCTGAGACTCTTATGTTTATGTTGAGTTATTTCATTTTAAAGACCTCCAAAAGAGTGTACTCTTTGCCATAAACTTAAAATTACTGAACCCACACACAGAAGCCTGATAAAAATGTCATTTTTAAAGGATGTTTCAAATACATATATATATATATAAATATATAAATATATAATATAAATATATATAAATATATATATTTAGAAACGGCTAATAATAATGACCTTAAAATAAAAAAGTGAAATCTACTATTTCAACCGAACTAAAATGAATAATACTTTCTACAGAAAAAAAGTAAATACTGTGAAAATGTCCTTGTTTTGTTAAATATCAGGAAATATTTCAAAACAAAGACAAGTTTAATACCAAAAAATATTTTCAGACTGGTTATACTTTGAACAACTTGTATAAAGAGTGCTCTAAAAATAATAAAAATTTCAAAGACAAAATAATTCAATGTTTAGAAGAGTACACAATAACAATATTATCTATATTCATTACTCATTATTATATATACAATCTATTGTGGTAATGAATATGTAAAATATTGCTATAAACAGAGGGAAAATTAGGCATAAAAAGCAAAAGCATCTAATACATATAGCTTTTGTGCCTAATTTTCCCTCTGTTTGCCAGTTGCCTCTCTCTAATTATCTCTCATTTCGATTCCTGTGTGGTGTTATTTTGCACGTAAGACCGTTACAGATTCATGTGTAGGAGTGTGTTGGCGGCGGGCGGTTGTTGACACAGATGTGTTGGCTGCAGATCAGGCAGAGTAGTCGCTGTCTGAGTTTTTAGTCTGAGACAAAAGGAGATCATACATTTAGCCACTCCTCCTATTGTGAGCAGCACAATGATGCTCGAGTACAGCCATGTGATTACACTAATTATGATGTCAGAGGATGTGCCTACAGTCTAGACTGGCATATAGCTCTCATAGAGCACACTAGAAAAAAAAATGTTTTTTTTTATTAAACACATCTGACATCCTAAACAGAGAGACTATAAGGCATTTCTAAGCCACTTTTTAATTAAATGACAAAATAAGTCAACATATTATTAGTATTGACAATGCAAAGAGTAGTCTGTGAAATAATTTCAGTTAAATCAATTCCTAGCTATATTGAGGTTCAGATACAATAAGATGCTATTATGATCATTTTTATTGTAAAAATCCTAGCTCACACAGTTACATCATTTGAAATGTACACTTTGAGGCCACAGGCTTTAATTTTTTATGATTTAATAAATGCCTAATTATTAACACATCATATCCCCCTAACTGAAATGTCTTGCAGAGTTTTGTTCTAATTCCATTTAATTTCTTTCAGAAATACTGTATACATATTAAATTCAGATAAAATACTCATATATTCATACCAACAAATATAATATATAATGTTTCAAATAACCTATGCCAATAATATGGTTGAAATAATGCCCTAAACCTTCTTTCAGTTTGCAAAACAAAGTTTGAACGGTTTGAACAGAAGAGTCTACTGTGTTCTGTTAAATTGCCATATAGTTTTTCTAGTTTGCTAAAATTCATTTAGAATAACATGATCAAGAAGTAACCCTTTTCTGATCAAGAAGTCACCCTTTTAAAATAAAAACATCCCTGTCATTCAACAGCCTGTAATATCTTTAAATTATACCCTAAAGACTCAGGTGCTGCAGTTTATTGCTCTTAAATATTTGATCATTTCATCTTTTTATTATGCGGCAATTTACTAAACCACAAATTTGTTATTTAAAGACCCTCTGATCCTTATACTGTATGTCTGACAAGATTTTTTGCTAAATTGCTATCACAATGAATTACATTTTAGTGGGTTTGGTATATAAAAAAAAATATTAAAAAAAAAAAAAAAATATATATATATATATATATATATATATATATATATATATATATATATATATATATATATATATATATATATATATATATATATATATATTTTTTTTTTTTTTTTTTTTTAGCCTTAGAAAGAAATTAAACTAAATAAAATAAAATAAAAATTTTCCAAACAATGAACTGTAATCAGTGTTGATTTCTATAGTTAAAATGTTTGAATATAATTAGGTGGTGAAAACCTGTTTGGGATTTTGAAAAGTAATCAAAAACAGTCAAATGCAATTATTAATAATGAATGAAGATTGGTAGAAGCCATTCAATAATATTTTGTAGTAGATTTCAAGTGACACCACAGATTTACATTAGATTTACACTTATACAAAACTGACATGACTGGCCTATTTTCTAAAGTCTGTTCAAAATTATCTAATACCAAGCGTAACATTTTCCATGGTTGAGGAACAAAATTCTCAAAAAAAGGGCATTTCAATTCTTCGAGCTTACTGTATGCTAAGCGAGGCATTATAAAAAAGGGTGTGGGTCTAGTAAAAAGCACTTTTGGCTATGCTAAAGTAGTTTAAACTGGTTGGCAGTTTCCTATCAGTGTTGCCAGACAGCCCAACTCCCTTTTATATGTGTGCGTATGTGCGTGCGTACTTGTATCTGCTCGAGTCTTTCCGAGGGGAGCTCTACATTATTTTAAGAATCGTGAAATCATCCCAAAGCAATACAGCACCAGCTAACCCATTATTATTCACAGACGCTTCAGTCAATAGCAGCTTAGCAGGTCAAGGAAAGGATCGGTTTCATTTTTAAACGGTTAAACAGTTAATGATGACATCATCGCGAATACCACAGTCTTCTATTCATACTCTTTTTTTTCTCTCTCTCTTTCCTTGGGCCATCTCATCGTGGTTTCTGAATGCAGTTTCCATCCTACAACTGAAGCTTCTTTGTCATATGAGGAATTCTTTTTGAAAAGCCAAAACTCTGCCGCCATTGTATCACTGCCATGTGTCTGAATTTCAAATGTACTATGAGAATCTCTGATTATTTATCGTGCAACGGTCCATGTAAAATACAATTAATTTTGTATTAATGCCTTGTTTAAAGCATTACAAAAATTAAAGGAGCTATGTATTACAGCAAAATTTAAAAAAAACTACATTGTGCAAGAACAATTCCCAAATAAAGACTTAAAATTATTGTTTTGAACTTCCATATACATTTCCCAGGAATGGGTTGCAGCTGGAAGGCCATTCTCTCCGTAAAACATATGCTGGATAAGTTGGCGGTTGATTCCGCGGTGGCAACCCCAGATTAACAAAGGGACTAACCCAAAAAGAAAATGAATGAATGAAGGAACTTTTATCAAATAGCTTCACGGTCATTTCTAAGACAGTTTTCAGTGATGGTGAGAGAGAACTTCCCATTATTACAGTAAGCATGGAAACTTTGCAGGGAGCTGTCAATGCCAGAATGCCAGAGACTCAAGGGAGATGAAGGATGAAAAAGTAGGGGGAAAAACAGAACTCCACGTGGTGTCTAGATAAAAAGATACGCGGAAGTAAAAAAGGCTGAAGTCTTTTTCATGGCCTGGGAGCCCAGTTGGAGTCACAAACGCTGAGGAATGAGCACATTAAGAGTACAAAGCTGGCCTTCTGCATCACACATTAACTGGGTGACTCTCAAAGTTCAATACAAAAGTGCTATTGATAGTTTATCCAAGTTGGCTGAGACCGTGACTGAGGGTCTGCTGGCCCACTGGGCAGCGTAGCATGACCGGATGAGCTCAAGAGGAGGGACAGAAGAACAGACAGAATGCAAAGAGGAGATGACTAGAGGGAAAGATGGGACATCAGAGTCAAAATCTCATTGTCACGCCAATGATAAATGCCGTATCTGTCTTTTTTTCTGTCTGGGCTATATTTGTGCAGTTTTGCCACTTGCTGTTGTGCATTGGCGTTAGAATTTTGAGACAAACTTAAATTCATAAACTTCTAAGCTAACAGAAAATATTCTCAGAACTCTGGCCAAAGGTCCCGTTATGTTTTATTCATTCATTCATTCATTTTCTTTTCGGCATATTCAACTATATGATGTCTTTGGACTTGTGGGGAAAACCAGAGCACCCGGAGGAAACCCATGTGGATATGAAAAATATGAAAAATGCTGGAAGTTAACTTACTGTTTAACAAAAGAAAGAAACTCCAACAGGTTTTGAACAAGTGAAGGGTGAGTAAATGCGTGGCATAATTTAGATTTTTGGGTAAACTATTTTTTTAGGAAGTGTCTTAATGTGTGTTATAAAGTGGAAGTTTATTCAGACCAAAATTGTTTGATTGGCAACACTGGTCCAAATCTATAAAGAATGAGTAAATGTTGACAGAATTCAAATTTTGGAAAAACTAACAAAATCCCCGTCTTCCATATTCCTTTCTTAATCAAGCACACAAAACTGTTCTGTTCCAGCCAACAGTGATGACTTATGTCAATGTCAGTGACCAGGAGGTTACAGCATCTAGTGCTTGACAATTTTCCAACATTAAAGCCATAGATCAAAGGAAACACAACGCATCTGCTTTCAGCTCAGGCTTTTGCTTGGCCTGTAAACAAGGTAACAGAAAGATTTAATTTAGAGCATGTCAAGCCACTGAGTGAGAGACTGACTTGTATGATTCTATTGAGTCATGGTTTAGACTAAAGATGGAGATGCAAACAAAATTTCTTGACGATTCAAAAACAAACAGCATGTAGATGATCACATGAAATCTCCATGCACGTATTTGTAAAAAGGAAACAGTGCTGAGAAAATGCATACTAGACTACAACAGTGTTAACTAACGTGTTTGACAGAAAGAGAGTAGCAGGCCTGTGGGGTTTTTTTTCCAGCTGGCAGCACATGTGCATTTATAAGAAAAGAGTACATGGTGACTCATCTACGTTTTTCCACTGTACAGAAACAACTGCATGTTCTTTGCTAAAATTAATGTAAATGTGAATTGGTGCAAAGCATCCATTAGCACTTCGCTGTGACGGTTGCTTTAAGGCGAGAAAAAAAAAAGAAGATTTTGCAGCAGTTTCATTTACTCAAGGTTTAACATTAAAGTTTAGGAGTGTGTCCAGCAACATGCCAAAATGCATTGATAATATTTTAGCTGGATCAGTATTTTTAAATAAATAATGTGACTGTTCATAGAGCTTTTAAAAAATAGTTTTATAACTTAATGATAATATTATGCTTTATGAACACATTTTGTAAGTTGGGTTAGATTTTGCACCTCGTTATATTGAGTGCTTGCTTTAAGAAAAATGTAAACAATCACCATAATTAACAAATCGTCACCTTATAATTATAAGGTTTTATCTGACATTTTTGTCAACATTGAGTTATTCACATATTCTTATTAAATGGCAAGTTATTTACATTTTGATGGTTTTGTATAAGCTGCTTACATTTTCAGACTTTTTATTTAAAAAACAAAAAAAGGTTTTAATTACAAAGTCGAACTTACAATTAATGACACACAATTAATGATCTGCCAGATAGAACTTTATAATTCCAGGTGGAAAATGACTTTTTTAGAATTAGAAGGTTCTATCTGCATTTGCCCTGTTTCTTTATTTTTTACCCCAATTTGCGAATTTAAGAAAGTGTTGATAATTTATTTAGGGTTCATTCAGGGTCTCTGTCATGTTAATGTATGAAAGAGAACTGCTATTGTTTGCTATATTGAATGCAAAAACTTTAAAGCTCAAAATCATTTACAATGCAGATAGGATCTTATAATTCCATAGTGACAATCTATTACTTAATGAATGATTGTTCAACATTACAATTTTATTCATTTCTGTAGTTTGAATGTGTAGAATGTATAATTTTATATAGCCTATAAAACGATTTATTCAAGGATTTCTTTCTAAATTAGTTTATGAAATGATAAATTGAGATTCACAAAATTATTTTGAAAAGAACTTGAACTCTATATATAATAAACAAATAAATAAAAATTTGAACCTGATTTCACCCAATGTTATTGTATTTTTGCAGGATATTCATGCAAATGGACATGTATTTAATTAGCCTGAACAATGCCTCATTTGGACATATATTTAAACACAACCCATAGTGAAGCTAATAATGTTTTTGCAATGTTTACATGTCCAATTACATCCATTTGTCAAAACTCACCAGTCTCCACAAACGCACCAACACGAGCTCTAGCCTATGCTAAACAGGCTGCATTCAGACTGCACTTCTGCCGCCACAATAAGACTCTTGAAAGGCTGGCTGCGTTTATGTTGCTGTTAGTGCTCGTCTGACGGCCTATATTTTGCCATTAATTTAGTGTAAAGCCAGAAGACAAACGGTTCAGGGAAAAACAGTAATGCGCGCGCGTGCTGCGTGACAGCGGTTACCTGAGTGACCGGGATTACAACGAAAGATCCTCCTCCCGCGCTTTCCGTCACTATGGCGAGGAACTTGGCGTTGACCGCACAGAAGTGGTTGTCATGGACGTTCTTTGTGATCGGGATGCCCTCGAAGCAGTGCTCTCGGTTGGCCACTTTGCCATAGACGTTTCGAAACTTGGAGCTCCGGTAGGTCGGCCGCCATGACATCTGCAAAACACATGACAGCAAACTAGATAAGGTGTATTATATCCTTTTTTAAATTTATTTTATTACAAATGGAATATTTTCTTTAATAAGCATAAAGAGTTGATAATTAGCTTTAGTCTCTCAGATCTGTTTTTGGGACATTCTACCAGAAATGTTACATTTTTACTAACAAAAAACGTGACAGGGCCTGACTTAAGCTTGTCATCCTCAAAAAATTATAGAAAAACAAACATAAAATCACACACACAATGTGACAGGACTGACCGAAAATGTGGACAATTGTAAGTTTATTTGTATTATATATTTGTTGTATTTATTTGTTAAATTTATTTATAATTTGATGTTTTAAATCAATTGATGTGAATGAAAACAACTTAAAATTGCTATTTCTGAAGTATTTTTTCTTAATAACAGTTTTTAGCATAAAACTATTAAAGCTGTAGGTTGAGTTGAGCTGAGGAAAAGGACAATGACGGGGACTGTGCATTTGTAAAGTGTTTTTAATAAAGAAAACAATCTGAGAATCAAATGAATGACAAATTCTTTTACAGAACAACTCACAGAATTTAACCATCAGTCTATTTTAGACATTGTGGTCTGAAATATTTCTATTCACTGTATTTATGTTTTTATTTTAGGGACAGATAATGTGCGTTTCTGGTAGAATGTCCCTTTTATAGCCTACGTGAGGATTATTATATGAACAAATTGGCATGAATTTAAATAAATAAATAAATAATGTAAATGTGTAAGACCACAAACATAGTGCAGAAGCATAATTAAAATGTTGTTTGTAAACACAATCTTTCTTTCTTAACCAATATTATTTAAAACAGTCAACCCTTCAAATGAAAAGTATGTTTTAGTGTGATTCTTGTGGGAAACCTTTATTTGTGTTTTTGCAATGGACCAGCAAGGCTGACAAACTGAATAGAAACCAACACCCAAAACCCAACTAGCTATTATCCTGCCCAACATCACTTGGAGTCTTGGGACTGAACAGAAACACATATTATGGCAATAAATACATATCAATACAGATGCTATTGAAAGCATTTTTCTAAAAATAGTCTTAAAATATCTAAATCACCTTTTTAAGGTGTTAAATCAGTCCAGACAGTAATTTGTTCAAATAGCAATGGTTATGGCATTCAATGTTGCATGCACTGCAAAATTTATTGTCTCCCTTTGCATTTTCCTTTTCCTTTATAAATATCTACTATAAGTCAATTGATACAGTGAATCATATATTGCAGTCACAACTCATTGGTTGCTTCATATAAAAAGACACTTAAAGAATATATGATATTATCAAATTCTCTATCAGGGACCTATTGTGTTCCCTTTAATTGATCAATTTGAAGGGAAGGGATTAATAATGTTCTCTTTATTTGGCCTTTAAAAAGGATTTTAATCTATTTTCAAAGAACCGTCAGAAACCCTGCAACAACACAAGGATATAAAAGGCAAAATGCAAATGAGCATAATACAGATATTAGACCCTCCAGTGCTGATTTGGCTCCATTTTCCAGAATGAAAAAGCCACTCAAGCCACTCAAACAGGAAGCGGTTGCTGGATGCTTGTAAATTTCTGTTTGTAGTTTAGCCTAGAGGAATATGTGTAAGCAACAATTTAGGCTCTAATGAATGAGACATGTGACAATGTGCCAGTGAAACTAAAATGAGCTGTGATTCGAAGAGATGATGACCAGAAGGAGGAGAGGAAGTGTTAAATCATCAGTGTCAGATCTGAATCTATATCCGAGATTGACATCACTCATGACTAAAAGAGTGTATTGAGATTATTTCTGCTTTTGTGTTAGAACATAGCATGCTTTGTGCTTAGTTTAATTGTAATATGTGGACCGCAAAACTATTTATAAGGGTACATTTCTGAATTAACAGTTATACATCACCTGAAAGCTGCTTACATAAGCTTCTCAATAATGTGTGGTTTGTTAGGATAGGGCAATTTTTGGCAGAGATTTAAAGATCTGAAAAACCGAGCTTTCAAAAAATTTAAATATTGAGAAAATTGCATTTAAAGTTGTCCAAATTGAGTCCTTAGCTTATTTCTATTTTTTTAGTTTTACTGTAATTACAGTGAGAAAAAAATACAAAATGTCTTCATGGAAGAGGATCTTTGTTTATTATTCTAATGATTTTGATTAAAAGATAAATCAGTAAGTTCAAGTCATTTTTGTCTATTCCAGCAAATAATCTATCTTGTACAACTTAAGACTGGTTTTGAGGTCCAGGGTCATTCATATATTTGTTGCCTAATCAGGAACAAGTTAGCATGTCTACATATTACATATTGGGCCATTTGTTTCCAGTTAGCATTGAGGCATTAGAATTGCATCTATCTGAGACCTTTTCATCATATCATATTTTCTTCCTCTGCTCTCCCACTGTGTGAATGTTTACAGCTGTCCTAAAGCATTCAGCGGTTTGTGTGCATGTTGTCTGGCCTGTTCAATCATAACCGACATACAGAGGCCTTGGGCTGTACAGAGCTGTGCCTTTGAGATTTGCATACAAGGGCATTCATTCATTAAATGACATCACGTACACACACACTCGCTCAATTACTAATTGCCAAGCAGAAAACATTTCCATACACAAATCCCTCAAAACATGTTTTCTTATTCCAAAATGAATATACATCCTATTTATTGTTGTTTTCTCCCCAATGTTTAAATTATTTATGCCAAATCTTACCTTTCCTCTGGTTTTGAGCTCACCACCCTCTGAATTTTGCAGTCATATATACAGAAAGAGTCAGTATCTTCTCCAGCGTCCTGTGTGCATCTAGTTTGCCACCCTGAGTTAGTTGCATCTGTTTTGCTCTTTCCTCTTTTCCTCCAAGCCTTCTCCTCCCACAGCCTCATTTCATCCCTCCCTCACTACTTCATTCCCTCCCTCTTACCAGGCCCAGCCCCACATCAGCTACTTTGTGCTACTGTAATTGCTAGAGGTCGAATATCCTTCTCTCTGCCTGAAACACACACACACACACACACACACACACACACACACGTCATAAGAGAGAGTCCTTTTCTAACATAATGCTTGTCTCACCACCGGCACAAATTGTTTCTCTGTCTTCTCTTTATGTGATTGTTTGCTTATTAATGTCTTTCCAATCATTGCTGTCAGTGACTGACCTCAAATCGACCTTATTAGGTTTATAAAACATATTGATCTAAACTGAAAGACAACATTATGTAATTAGTATGATGCAACTCCAGTGTCTACTTTGTCGGGGGCAGTGTCCTCAGTATTTTTTGTAAAACATAATAACAATTATTCTGCATTATGCAATATTTTTACATTTAGATGCATGCCATATTTGAATGTTTCATCTGTATGCTAAAACTAAATCAGATGTGAATCAGTATGAGTAAATAAACAAAGTCATTTTGTATTTGTAAACGTTTATCATACTGTTGACAAGTTTATGGCCAGTTAGATTTGTTTCTGGAAATCACTTTTGTTCACCAAGATTTTGCTTAATCATAATCTAAATACAGTTAAAGCAGTAATGTTGTATTGTCAATTTTCAGCAGTCATTACTTCAATAGACTGATTTCCATTTTAAAAATGAAAGGGAGGCTGCGGTGGGAAGAAACCCGAAAGTAACGCCTGGAGTCACACAGGAATTGTTATGTACCTGGCTGTATATTTTATCTAAGAAAGTGACACCTATTTATAATTCCACTACTTTGCGAGTGACCTGAAGGTCCGTTCTGAATAGAGAGTAAAAATAAATAGGGATATCACACTCTGAAATGGCTCTAGATAGCTAACGTTAAACACACATTTTAGATGCCATTCACCAAACTCAATTTGATAAACTGATTCTTTCACGATATTAGACTTGTCACAATACTAAATTTTGGTACTGAAATAAAATTAAAAAAACGTCAAATTCCTGCTTACTTTTAAGCGCTTTTGAGCGTGTTCTTAAACACCGCTGTTTTGCCATAGTATTTACCAGTGCTCAACAGAAATGACTGTGATTGGCTGTGATGGTTATAGGGTCACTGCACTTCACTGATGTTTACCGAGTGCAAACACAGACGAGCTATCCGCTGATGAATTGACTGATCTTCACTACTACAGTGAACTGATGACCTGATGAACTGATGAAAATGGACGTTTTTTAAATTTCAGTACAGGGACAACACTATTACAGACAACATGAGGATGTGCTACAGTGGACTGTTTTATCACTCAAGGGGTTACATAGGCTGAAACAGGGATGTGTCCCCACGGTGTTTACTTTGAACTGAAGCCTAAGAGGACACTTAAGCGTATTACTCTTAAAAAGATTATGGTTTTATTTTATGCCTAATATGCTTTAATTGTTTAAATTTAACTAAATGATAATAAAGTGATGTTTAAAACACATCTGCACTTTAAAATCGTGGCAACAGCAATTGCAATGTTACAGTGCTGATCCTCGATTTTCGGGTTTCAGTGGGCAGCCTCGCTTTCGTTTTTTTTAAATGGCGGCCGAGTAAAAAAAGCGTATGTTCAGTGTAAAATGACCCTTTAAATCATCTATTTTAAAAATGTTCATATGCTTGAAATATTTCTAATTCTTCTCAATATTGACAAAAATGTTCTTCTTAATATTTTGGAAACTGTGATGCATTTATTTTTCTTGATGAATTCAAAGTTTGAAAGAACTGTCATTTTAATGTATTTTTGGTAAATATAAAAAAAATATTTACTGACTATAAATATATAGATAGATAGATAGATAGATAGATAGATAGATAGATAGATGGATGGATGGATGGATGGATGGATGGATGGATGGATGGATGGATGGATGGATGGATGGATGGATGGATGGATGGATGGATGGATGGATAGATAGATAGATAGATAGATAGATAGATAGATAGATAGATAGATAGATAGATAGATAGATAGATAGATAGATAGATAGATAGATAGATAGATAGATAGATAGATAGATAGATAGATAG